TATCTAACGTGTTAATACAATACATGATTTCATCATTAGTGAAAAAACATCTAGCATGGTAATACATGATTACATCTTTACATGAGATTACATATATAAATTATGATGGCTGAAAAAGAAGTCAGAAACCTGCTTTCCTGTTAGTGCAGCAGTAATATCTTGCAACTTCTAAAGCAAAGATAATGCATGTCTTATAGCCTCTTAAAAAATATTTATGCAATTTTTACCTGCATATCCATAACATCACCACTATGCTGGATATCACAAAGCAAATGAGGTTCTCCATGATATTCACCATTTGGGACCAAGCCTGCAAAATCTCCAACAGACCAAATGGAAATCTTATTTTCCTGTAAAATTACAAAAAATACAGACTCTTGTACAATGTTAATGAAACAATGTGTGTTCATCATTTACCAAATTACTATTTTGCATTTTTATTAGATTTATATGCCTTTTGTACAGGAGCTCAAGGCATCACACATAGTGTTCCCTCTTCCTATTTTTCCCCATAAGAACAACCCTGGGAGGTAAGCCAGGTTGAGAGAAAATGACTGACCAAAATTACCAGATGAGTTTCTGTGGCTGTAGGTGCAGTAGAACCTGGGTCTCCCCACTCTTAGTCCAACACTTTAACTAGTATACTACAGTGGCCCTATTTTCTAATTTTCAAATAATCTAGAAAAGTACAGAAGATTTTATTTTGTTCATAATATAAGCAAAGTACTATATCTTTTGCTCATATATTTAAATATAGAATTACTGAAATGTTAATTTTGTTATGTTGCACACTGAGTACCTTTTGAGTACTCAGTTGTCAATTTAGTAAGACATTCCATAAACATTTTCAGAAATAACACCTGTAGCTTTGAAGAAAGTTTGTTTTATGCTACATTTCCAAAATACAGGCAGATATTAATTAGTATAGTTCCATTATTTCCAATACATCCCTATTTAAGTTCCAGATACAAGTGAGAGTATGTGATTTAATTCAGTTCCTACTCCGACAATTCATGCACGCTGGAGCAAATAACTATTAAAAAGAACACACTGGCAAATTTAAGCTTAAAATTACTAAATGCATGCTTAATCTTAGCCATTCGCTACCTCTGTAAAGCAAAATAAAGAGTCTATTCACCACCACCACCAAGAATGATGCACAAGCCAAAAGGGATCGCTTTTAGGACTAAATTCAACAACTGCGGGGGAGTCACGACCATGGGTCAGGAATACTCTACATCAAAAAAGCACGTGCACCAGGTTTTCGCGATCATGATAGCTGGAGAGCACAAAAAGCGACTGGGGGAAAGCGAAAGTTGGTTATGGGGTGAAAGTCGAAAGACCGGAGAAAGGAGGAATGGTAGTCACGCAAGCGGCCGAGTTACCTCATTGTCCCACGAGCCGGTGGCGAAAACCTCGGGAGGCTGCAAGGCAGTGGCAGACACGGGCCGCCAGCGGGTCTTACTGATTTTCTGGGATACATATTTAGCCACGACGTCTTCCATATTCGGGAAGAAAATCTCGCTCCCGCGCCGCGAGATCTCTCCGCAAGCTTTCAACCTCACCCCCTTGATTGGCTCACAAGCTTCACGGGAGACGGCAACCGAAGGAGGACAAAAATGCTTTGCTTGCGCTTAGACTAAGGAACAGCGGTCTCCACGGGAATGAGAATTTTAATGCTATCGCGAGTGGGATGCGTCTTGCAGTTGAATTTCTAGACTTTTGTTTTCCTAAAGCTGGAGTATCTAACTGGGAGATTAAGTATTTGTCTCAAGGTGATTTAGGATGAGTCAAACTCTGCATTATATCTCACAATGTCCCTATGCACGAGTAACTTGAAAAGACATAGAATATGGATGATTATCAAGGACATTAAGCTAAGTCCTAAACTGATTTATTAAGGTGTAAGCCTTACTGAATAGACTGGGTTTTACATCTGCATAAATATGCACGGTACTGCATTACATGATTGAAGCCTAAATACTTTCAGTAGTTAGTATTAAAGCACTTTCTAATCTGGGCTGAATGGGGACTACAGCTCCCAGAATTCCTAAACAACAGGTTTAAGTGGTTGGATGAGATTTGAACCTTCCGTACAGTACATCTTAAGGGAACCTCCTTAATGAAGGCTACAAGACAGCATGAGCTGAATTTAATGGTACTTGTTGCTGAATCAAGCACACATACTTCTGCTGATTAAACCATTTTATTTTTTCCCCTACAATTCCTTTTAAAAGACAAAATTTCCCCTAAGTCTAGCTCAATTCCTGGTGACTTCATGGATATATTCAAAAACTCTGCCAGGTTATTTTTGAAGCAGTTCTATTTTCCTCATTTAGCTTTGTAGGGATGTACACCTGGCTGTCCTTGGCCGATTCAAAAAGATGAGTAGGGTTGGACCTGGTTAATACTTGGAGGGGAGTTTACTGAGAAATCTCAATACTGTATATTAAACAGGGAAATTTTTAAAAAATCTCCAAAAGCAGCAATGACAATTTCCATACTGTTGCTAAGAAAACTACAAGGACACATCCATGAAATCACAGGAGCTGAACTTAACTCAAGAGAAACTTTTCTAAAAGTAGACAGACTATATAACAGTTCCACAATTCTGAAAGAACAGGAAGCATGTTATATATGAAATGGAATGCTACAGCAGCATGAAGTAACACTGAAGATAAGTATCACATTTAATTCAATAGAAATAGCCAAGAATTGATTTGCATCATTGCATAAAACTGCATCCAATTCATACAATTAGATCTTATGGAAGTTTACATAGGCATAAATCTAACTATTAATTGTATATATCCCAAGGCAGAGGAAATTGTATTGTACTCCCTCTTTCACAACAATATTTCCTTGGAAGTAGATTAACTTGAGAGATAATGACTGGCCCAAAGTCATCTGGAGTGGGTTGGGAGTTAAATGACTTCACATTTTAGTTCTTTATATTGCCTGAGTGACAGTGGCCTTCCAATGTCTCAGGTTCCACTTACTTGGCTCATTTAACTAGAGACGCCAATATTAAATCTGGAACCTGGAGAATATCATGTACTCTGTGACCTCTTCAAATTATTTTATACAAAAACAAAATTTATGAAATTATTCTACAATGCCTTTTGTAAAACTCCAACCTCTGCAGAATTAAACAAACCTAAGCTTTCAGTGCAGTCTGATTCTGTGGAGCTAAAGTACTAAAATCCACTACCATGGCAAATGGAAGTCTATTGGTTAACTGTAAATCCATTTTGCTAATTAGAGCTACTCTCAAGAAAATACACACGGTATTGCAATATTAGAATTTTTATTAGAACTCCAATTAGAACAATAGTTCTGCATTATATGTTTATTTTATGCTTTAGAGTTACAAGTAATATGAAATTTACTCATGAGAATTAATCTCATCAGAAAATACATATTTAATTCCCATGGCATGACAAACAGTAATACATCTAATTGGCAAAATAAGGAGCAGGTTTACATTTCTTGTGTCTCATTAGAATATAAAGCAAATATTCTGGTGGGCTGACTTACAGAGAAATTTGGAATTCACAAATGAAAGGTATAAGACTATTTTGAAGTATTTAAAAGCAAGCCATCATCCAAAAATGGAGCTTTCAAAATATCATTAAATATAGCCTTGCTAGCGGGACCCTTTTTAAAAAGCAATATATGAGTACATGTGTTGCTTTCTATGCACAATAATGTTTGAAAATCATAAAATGATAATGAAGCATTTTGTCATTGTCAGGTTACTTTGTCACTGTGCACACTACTGCTGATATTGAAGAATATCAATAATGTGACTCACCTGTTCTTGTGAAATGCCAATCTTGACAGCAATTTCCCATTGAGTGATCCACTGATTGTCTTCAATCAGTTCATCAATCTTTCTAGTGTGAAGCTCTTTGATTGCTATCACAGATCATCCACTTCATTTTTGATCACACAAATCAGCTCTTTCTGGTTCACTGTCTTTATATTTTTTAGCTCACCAATAACAATACTCATGTCAACATATTCATCACCATAAGCAACCTGCATTCAGCAGTGAATTTCAATTGAAGGGATACCTTCAGTAGTCAAAAATGTGATCATGGTACATTGCTTAAAACATGTTTATGAGTACTCATTGCAGGCTTCCATTTCACAAACAATGGCAACACAACATTTTCTCATAACTACTTCCAAGCAACCAAAGTGAAAAAATACATCAGAGCTTCTAACATGTCAGTACTACCATCTACTGGCAATTTACAACATTGGAATCATTACTTTTCATTTAAGCCCTGTACTTTGTCAGTGGGGGTGAAATAAATACCACAGACAGAACGGTGGGAAAGGTGACAATTCCACACACAGAAGTTTTACCCTGAGGAAAAATACCTGGATTAGCATTAATTTGAGAAGCAGCTATTATCCTGCCATGATGTGCTAGTACCTCATTTCTTTGCACTATAGTGTTTTACACAACCCATGGTTGGCTGACACATGCATTACTGAATTAACCCAATTGCTTGGATTTGCACACCTTGAGCCACTCACTAAACACACTGGTGAGGTCCACACAACACATTGATCCAACAAGACTATGTGCAGTGTGAACACAGCCCAGTGCTAGCTATACAAATAGACACTGCTTAAGTGGACCTACAGGATGCATATGCCTGTTTATATGCCTACAATCTGTGTTTAATCCTAGTACCAGCCTATTTCAAGTGTTTGAAAAAGCATTTTTCTAAACTTTCAGCTCCGCTCCAAGAACCTTCCCATCTCGCATCCTAAATGTGCCATTCACGCTATACCATATCAGAGTTATATATAGCCAAGATTAAGAATCAATCACATGCTTCTGTTTAAAGGAGACATCTTCCTCCCCTAAGACAACCCCACCCTTACTCTCCTCCTCGGTCAGCATCTCTAGCCCCTCCCTCACTGGGTCGCCGTGTCCCCTTTATTCGGTGAACTGCGCCTGCGCATACCGGTCGCGGTTGCCCGGCGGCGACCGTTCAGAATGTCGAGGGCGCGGGGGGGCGGGGGAGCAGTCCCTCCCTCCGGCGGACGCGCAGCGGCAGCTGCTGCTGCGGGAGGAGAGGAGGCGGCGCCTGTGTCGGCGCTGGAGGTTGTGTCCTTCCTGGGGAAACTGCTGTGCGCAGTCGCGGCACTGAAGGCGGCTCTCTACCTGCTCCGCAGAGTCTGTCTAACGATGGCCTGGAAGTCTGGAGGCGCGAGCCACTCCGAGCTCATCCACAACCTCCGCAGTGAGTATGTGTGCGCGCCCGGCTCGGTGAAGAAAGAAAGGAGTGGGAGGAGGCAGAGGGAGGTGCCAGGGCGCGCGCTGCCCATTCTTGAAACCCGACATAGACATGCACCCTAGCTCCCGGCCCGTTGCTAGGGAGTGACCGTTGGGATTCGTGTGGCCCTCCGAGTCGCGCGCTGGGGCCGCCGGCGGGGGGGCGGGGAGAGAAGAAGTCAACTGTCACTGGGCGACCTCTGGAGACCTAAGCGGGGGCGGCATGAACTTTCCGCTTGCAGCTCCTGCGGGGCGAGGATGGAAGGCGCAGTTGTACTCGCCGCCAGGCGGGCGTGTCTCTTGCTGCGGGGAAAGCCTGTTTTGAGGGCGGCAACTGGGCGATCGCTGGGTGGTTCCCTCGGCTGCCCGCGAAGCTTCGCTACCAGGCCCGGCGGTGGGAGTAGCAGACGGAGCCTCCCTCCCGCAAGCCTTGGTTTCTTTGCTCCTCTCGTGGGATTTCTTCTTCTTCGCTCGGAAACTGGGAACGCAAAGAAAGCATCTGGCTTTCAGCTCTTCTTTCTGTATACGGATCTAGGAATCTTTATGACGGCTTGTGCCAGGACGCTGCGCAAACGTAGTTTCCTGAACTCTCAGCCGCTGTTAATGCATGCCTCGTAAAAATTGAAGGATGCCTGATTGTACATCCTTCAGGCAAATTTAAGTTTCTAGTCCATTAGGTTGCCGGGAAAGGAGAAAAGCTTTAAAGTGCTCTCGGAAAGCGTAGCAGTTGGCCTTTCTCTTCTGTCACTTGCTCATCATTATGCAACATTTAGTCTCTTAGAGTAAGTCTCATCAGCTATTATCATGATCTTCATTGGCTTGAGCTGCCACCCGTTTCTATTTGTTGAGAATAAAAATGTTGCAACTTGTCCTATAATAAGAGAACTGGACAGAATAGGTAATGCAGTAGTGATACAATTTTATTTGATGAAGTCTAGGAGTTCAAATTCATTCTGTGAACTTCCTTATTGTTCAGGGCTTTTTTCAGAGAAAGGGCCATTGGAAGGTGCACCTATAAAGCTCATGGACCTCCAGATCTGCCTTGAATAAATAATATTTTGGGGTAATTCCTTATGAAACATTAAAGTTTATGTTTACAAGGCAAATGTAAACCTATCAGCCAATTAAGGTTTTTGCCCTTCTGTTCAGTGAGATATTCAGCACAATTAAATTTGGCACAATAATGTATGTTCTGTTCATAAGGTTGTTTAAAAAATCATTTACAGCAACTCCAATTGTCTGCTCCTGTTTTCATTTGGCCACTGAGCTGGTGGTTTCATTGTCTCATTTGTGAAGATAAACAAATAGGATAGAAATGCAGACAAATAATAGCAAGAACAGAATGAAATGATAGAGGGCCTTTGGGTGTTATGTTTTATATTGCATCCCATTTCTTAACTTTTTTTTTAAAGAGTGCAGTATAGTGCTTAAGGTTTTGGACTAGAACTGTGGAAACCTTAGCCATGGAAACTTTGGGCTGCTCATTGTTTCTTAGCCCAATATATTTCACAGGGGTAAAATGAAGGGGAGGTCTCTGGGTAAGCCACCTTGAATTCTTGGAGGAAACAAAGAATAAAAATTAAACAAATAATAGTAAGAAAAAAAATTACACGTCTAACCTATAAAGTTGCACATGCCTAAGTTCCTTGACTGCAATCTTAGACTGGTTTGTGGGCAATGTATCAATTTTCATTTGCTTTATTTCTTAATGTAAATAAATTTCATATATAACTTTATTATATAACAATAGTACATAAGATGTATATCTTTCTGTAGAGGAAATATAATTTTGCAATGTTCTGATTTAAATATAACCATTCCAGTATTGTTGAAAATGACTGGTTTTACAGAATAATGATTGAATCTTATTTACCTTTATTTGTGATATTTATATTTCTACTTTCAATAAAAATATAATTTGATGACAAAGCCATACATTAAATACATGGTAATGTAATTAAAGCCAGTGTAATTAAAATAATGTAAACTGGAATTATAGGGAAAATAAAAACACAGAATTCTAAATTTAGATTTTAATTTAATTGAAAAGCCCTGTTGAAGTAAGACTATGCTACTAATCAAATACAAGTATTTTGCTTGTTTAAGATATATAACCTTCTAGATCCCACTCCCTGTCTTCTGAAGTTGGAAAGATTATGATATTTTATAGTAGAATAACTGCTTTTAAAGTTGCTTCAATGTAGTTTCCAGAATACAGAAGTAATAGTGGGTTTTGTTTTTTACTCTTCCCCTTGATGTTGTAAGAATAAAAGGCTAAAAGCTCTTTTCTAGTTTATTAATGGAGCTTGCAGAGTGAGCAGTCACTAAACTGAGCTTCAAATTTGCTTCTCTAGTGAAGTAAATACATGCTTGCATCAGACTCTAGCTTAACAATGGTTTGAATTTTATTACCCAACACTATTAGTGGTATGTAAGCCTTGCAAGTGTAGTAGTGTTTTTTGCTGATTCTGAATGGCAGTGTCATTTTTAAAGACTGGTTTAAGAACCTTAAATATAATTTAAAGATTATGGAATCTATTAATTTTGAAGGTATTGGTAGTAACCTCAGCGATCAGACATATCTTGAGTTCTCATACAAATATGCAGGCAAACAACTTGGTTTTTTTTTTTTTAAAAGGAACTGAATATTACATAGAATATAAATGAATTTTCAAGTCTTCCGACCTATTCACATCTGACAAAAACTTAGGAATGCTTATTAAAACAAACAAACCAAAATAATCCTTTGGTACAGAGTATCAAATTGATAATGACAAGGATTTGGAAGTTGTATTAAAGATAAAGAACAAGTAATGTGGATCATATGCTACATAGCTATGATCATTGCAGTGTTAGATTTTTTTAAAGCAAATCTTTAATGATTGGTGATCATGATACTAGTGAATCTCTGCTGATTTACTGATTAGAGGGGTGTCTCACTGCAGAAACAAAATTGGTATTATAAATTAATTATTTTAAGGAGAAGCTTCCCTATGACTGAAGAAAAGAAAACTTCAATTTTCAAAAGAAAGCACATTTACACATCTCAGTGCTGTACCCAAAATTTCATAGTTTGACTCAGTGGAAATGATTTTTATTGTGAATGTGTAGATCAGGTTTTAGAGGACATGTTTTGACTAAGATTATAGTGCTATCTTGTATATTGTGTGTGCTGTGTGGCAGAATTGTGTTCTGGGAAGTATGTCATCACTCCAATAGGCTTGCTCATTATATGAACATTCTTACTTGTAAACCATCTCATACTAATATTATACCATGTGGGAAATGTTTGATATATAAATAATTATTAGCACAGCCACTAATCCCTGGCCATTTGTGATCTTTTCTATGACACAGGTAGCAGATCTGTAATTTTTTGATGTTTTCCTTTTCCTGAGCTGTTTTAATGGGATAGACCCATTTATTTATTTGATTTATATGGCCACCCAACTTATGAAAGCAGCTGTTCTTTGGAAAACTAAATTGAAAAATCAGTGATAACAGATTGGATTTACTTGGCTTGATAAGTAAAAACCTGTGCTTTCCTATATATTTTATATTGGTTTTTATATAAAAGCAACATTATTCTTTTGCATTATTTTCTCAATGTTGTATTTATTTCATTTCATTCTTATTGTTTTATGTATTTGAGATTTGCTCACTTAATAAAATCAATTTGGTATTTCTTTGTATGAGCTGCAGCTGTGTCTGTATCATTTGCAGCTCTCAGGATCTGAGGGCAATAGAATGTTCAGCCTCCAGAATGTTTTAGCTTCCAGAAAGGCTGAACTTATGAAGAAAGCAAGAACAAGGAAATCAAATGGACATCAGAATAGACTATGCTGGCAAGTGGAATGTACTGTATCAGAATTTTATTCTGGTACAACGGGGGCAGATGTTATGGACAGTTTAAGAGGCTAGGATGAAGCAGTTGCAGTGCGGCTGCAGAAACTTGGCAACAAACTTCTAAATACAAGTCATTAGATCAAAAGCAAAGAATGAAAACTAGGAAGATTTATTAAAGTGTTACAGTGCCTTAAAGAACAAATAAATCTGCAGGTTGAAAAACTGGCAAACATTGTTCCTCTAGACCATACATTGTTCAGAGGCCAGACACTGATTCCAAATGAACAAATGAAGCTATAGACCGGAAAAACATTTCACCCACCTTTCTGCTCTGTGTTGCTCAGAATGCAACTGCAAATCATACAGGGTTTCTGTCAGTGTGATGCTTTCAAATATCAATGGCAGATTGACAACAGCAATGAAAACATTAACTTCCTTGAGAAGTCTGAGGGCCTCACAGACGATTTTGAGGTACCACATATGGACCCTGGGCTTTTTGATTTATAGTAAAACCAACTCTGGAAGAACATAAATGGGATCCAGTGAGTTTGATATCTGGGAGGATCATATTTTTTTTCTCATTCTGCAACCCCAAATAAGAGCAAAGGAACCAGGCAGCCAGCTGAGCTGTTCTTTTTTTACTGGCTGCCTTATGGGAGGAATGTTGATGAATTTCTTTTTTGTGCTTTCACTCATAAATGTTGATGCTATTTGTAAACTGCTGTTGAAGCATTTGAATCCTGAAGTAAATAAATACACATACAGACACACACATATATGTCTGTATGTGTGTATAAAAAACTAAGTAGCTCGCTGCAGTATCGCCATGGCACAAACCAAAAGGTTCTTGATTCATTATATTTTTTAAAACTACTTTCAAAACATTAGAAGTTCCTTTTCTACATTTTACACCTAAATTCATGTGGAAATAATTAATAGAATTGCCGCTAGATATATTTTCAGGTGCTATACTTATTAAAATGTAATTTGCCTAAAATCTACCAGAGGCTTCTTCAGAATAAATGTAATTGTAAATGTATTTTAGCATTTCATATAGTACATAAAGTATGGATGTAGCTGCAATTTTAATAGCATTGTTGATTAACATTGTTACATTTTGACTAAAAACTTCCTTTTTTTTTTTCCAGAAAATGGAATAATCAAATCGGATAAAGTATTTGAAGTAATGATTGCAACAGACCGTAGCCATTATGCAAAATGCAACCCATATATGGATTCTCCTCAGTCAATAGGTATAACCACATATATTCAATAAGTTTAACTATCTAAGTGTTTGATTTTCCTGAAGATTCTGAATCTGCTGCTTGTACGCTTCAAAAATATATCATGGTTTTAGAAAAATGCAGGGAAAAAAAGACTAAAATTGTCGGAGAATATGTTTACTACAAGGAGTTGCTAACTGGGAAAAATAGCTGCAGAAGAACATAATAGAAATTTGTGGCAACTAAACTTCAGCATTCCCACTCTATGATATTATCTCCCAAATAGTACTGGAACTCATTTTCCCAGCCAAAAAATTATTTAGAATTCATGCTTCCAAGTGGTTATAAAAATGATGTAGACAAATTCTGCGATACCAAATTTGTCAGTGGCATTTAGCCATGATGACCAAATTCAGTCTCTGTGTTCTGAGGCAATATGTTTCTAAATGCAAGGAACATATATCAATGCAAATCATTATCTTCATGTTCTGCTTGTGGGTTTTTTCCATTCAGGAATGTTTGTCACTGTTGGAAGCAAGAAGCTGGACAACATGGATTCGTAATCTAATAGTGATCAGAAGCTTATTCTCCCGCATCTATTCATAAAAGCTTGATTTCTTTGATTTGTGATACAACTTCTGTGTTCTTGGATATTCTCCTTTTGTAACCAAGAGATGGAAACATGGGCTGGATTAATGCATTGCACTTAACTATAATGTAATTTGTTTGGTTTTGATTTCGTGTGTATAAAGCTAGTCATTATGGTCACTATGCTTTATAATAGCACAGTGTAAGTATGGTTTATAATGGTTAGCACAGTGTGTAAACCCAAAAAGTTGTGGAGTCAGTTAATATGATTACTCTCTACCCATATATTAAATAATTTTCACTTTTAATTATGTTAAAATTTATAATTTGGTAACAATTTGAAGGATATGTAAATTCCCAACTAAAGTGTATGGTTTCAGCTGTAGTTGGGTTTGAAGTCCTGAAACAAGGAAATAGACTGTCTCAGTATTCATGACCTAGTTCAGGAGCAAAACTATGTCTGGGCAAAACATAATGGTTCAGTGAACTTTATAATGCCCTTAATAGGCTTGACCAGCATACCTCAAGAAGTGCCTTTCCCCATATTCATATTCTCCATTGAGGTCTCTGAAGGAGGGTGAACTACATATGGACTTTTTTTTTACTTAAAGAACAAAAATTAGTGCCTTCTCATACAGGGCCAGAAGTTTATAGAATTCAGAATTATTTTAAGCTAATTCCTTCTTCAAAATCAGGGTGCTATCAGACAATCCTTTGCTGTACAATAGCCCTCATTACTTCATAACATTTTAGAGGGTCTGGATATCATCATCTTCCATTTATAGCTGTCCCATGTTTTTTTATATTTTTTCCTGTTTATGGTGGGAACAAGAGTATAGGATTTTTTTATAGCAACACTAGGAATGTATATCATGAAAAATTATATTCTAATTAATGGAGATATAAGCTGTTTTTACTGTATAAATTAGGAGAGAGTGACTGCATTCCTGCATTGCTATAATCTGTTTTTTCTTTAACTAAGTTATTCAGCAAGCCTGTGGCTGGATTCACAGATTGTGCTAAGTCAAAATATGGTTTTTCTGGTTTCGGCTTAGTTTAATGTAAGAACATTAGTGGCACTGATTTGTAAACCATTATATATGGCTCATAATCAATGACTTTTTAAAAACAATGATTAAACAAACACATCCAATATATGAATGAACTTTTCCTTTATTAGTGTTGGCATTTGGTAGTAGTAGATAGTTTATATATATTTTAAATTTCTTTAATGCTACAAACACAGGAATTCAGTAGGGTGACAGGTGGGGTCAAATGACATCACACATCATGATGTTTCACAAATGACAAAATGTATATAGTTGCATCAGATGTTATGATGCAGTTACATAATCATTTGTGTGATGACGTACGTACTATTTTGAAATCATAGTTTGTAGTAGATGCCTATGAATAGAAGTAAGTATAGTTTTCTTTCATTTTAAATAATTGGAAAATGCTAATACGTGGCTCAAAAAATTAATTTTTCCCACCCAGAAAAGTTGAAGTTGCTTCTGTTTCTGTGATCTCAAATTTCTGCTACTTTACCTCAAGCCAGTTAATTACCTTTTTATGAAGCTTAGTATTTCTCCTGATTGTTGCTGGCTTTCTGCTTTAGAAAACAAATTCTTTTTTATAAATATCAGTGCTAGAATTTCTTTTAAGCAGCCTGGATTCCTTGACAAGTATATTCCTTGACAAGTAATTCTTGTTAGGAGAATTGTGCTAGAATATGAATCTTCTGTTAACTTCTGCCTCCATACCACTGGCTAGAGTTGGGGCAGGCAGTGGAGCCAGTATAGTGAAGTAAGAATATTTGGGGCTGGGAAACTCAGATTCAAATCTACTCAGTCATAAATAGCTGTGTGATTATTTCTCAGCCTAATATATCTCACCATATAGTTGTAATAATAACATAAGATTGGGTGGAAATGTTGCATCTCTTTTTTAATTCCTGAAGAAAAGGAAGGATATAAATGTAATTATAAAAATGAAAGTAATACTTTAAAGTTATATACATTTAACAGGGAAGAATAGCAGCAATTAAATGTGAAACAGCAAAAAAAGCAAAATGTGACATTAAGGCTGGAGTATTATGTGTAATTATTTCAGTCAATGCCACTGAATTTAGTTTTCAAACAAAGCTTATTTAAATCTAAGGCAAGTTTTTTTATTCCCAGTCAGCATGGTTATTTCTGATCTATTTTTTTCCCTAAGAAAAGAAATGGTATATACTAGTTGTGGAGCTTATTAAATTAAAGGAATCTGTTAACCTGCATGCAGATACTGAATAAATTTCAATTTATATCCTTTTTATTTTACCCTTAGGGAATTCAAGCAAAATATGAATCACTTAAAAGCCAGTGAAAACAATAGCTAAAATTGTTATTCAATCAATTCAAAAGGTTTGGTTGAAAAAGGAGATCTTGATACTTTTTCTGAAGTAATTTCTAATGAATAACACATTATTCACTTGCTAAAAATACAAATATTGCTCAAGTGGACTTATTGTGAATACCTTTAAATAAATTATTAAAATCTAGATAGATATAAGACAAGGAGATGAAATGAAAATAATAGCTATGGAAATAGTGTTACATAATACTTCACTGTAGGAAGTTGAAAAAAACATCCCAGAAGAATGTAATGGTAAACAATGTTGTTGCCAAGAAGATAACATGTTCATGTCCACAAAGTCACCTGGAATTGAGCTTGATTCTGAGACTTTATGAATATATAGCACAAGAAATATCAGTACAATATTTCCCAATTCAGACTCATTATGTTCCAATTATATTGGATTTCTGCCCACATTATCCTAATCATCGTGGCCACTTCCTTTTCTATCTGGTGATTATGGGAATAGATCTAGCACACCTGAAAGCAACCAGGTCGGAGCAAGTTGTACTAGTTACAGTAATTTCATCATCACTGGCTAGCAGTACCATGGTGTTTTTCTGTGAATAATTATAATTGAATATATTTTCTATTTATATTTCCGTCATTCAGATTTGTTCTTTCCTGCTCATTTAGTCACATGATAACTGGCTGGTATATATCTGCTAGCAGAATTTATTACATGAATATGCCTGCTATTACTCAGACAATTTTTCTTTGCCTTGTAGGATTTCAAGCAACCATCAGCGCTCCACACATGGTAAGTGTTAGGTTTCTAATCCACTGCAGTTCCATATTTTAAATCTTGTCTCCTCATTTTTAACTACCAATTTATTGTTCTTAAAATAATGAAGATTTTATGATAACCTTAGAGACTGATAGATTTATTGTGACAGAAATCTCATGTTGTGAGAGAGAATTCATTTAATATTAGAATGTCCGAGTAGACAGCATCTAGTGGGGCAGGCCCGTCAGGTGGCCAGGGAGGTGAGGTGAAGAATTCATTCTAATATTAGAATGTCCGAGTAGACAGCATCTAGTGATACCAGCCAAAAGGCAGTGTGCAGTTATCATTCCTCAACAAATTTTCTATCGTTTAAAAAAAAGAAAATAGAAAAAACTGTAGGAAAACATTAAATGAGAAAAATAGAAAACATCATCTGAAACCACTTGTAAAATTATATGAATGAGACAGATAGACAATAAAAGTATAGTCTGGAAATAACACCTTTTAAATTTCACCAGTGTTTTTTAAAATTAAGGTATTACTACCTTGTGCATTAATGAAGTTCATGTAGCTGTCTTAAAAGAAAATACAGATGGTCCTTGGGTTATGTCCATTCATTCAGCGACTGTTCAAAGTTATGACGGTGCTGAAAAAAATGAACTTATGGCCAATCCTCTCACTTATGTCTGTCACAGCATCCCCGCAGACACATGATCAAAATTCAGGTCCTTGGCGACTGGCCCACATTCACAACTGTCACAGAGTCCCATAATCACGTTCTCCTGCCCTGCACAAACTTCCTCCGCTTCAACTCCCCTCATCCGCATATCTTCCCCCCATTTTTGCCCTTTTGGCTGCCCTGCATAGCATGGCTGATATGAAGAGGCCACTGTATTCTGCCATTGCCGCCACCCCCAGCTGATCTTCGTTGTCTTCTTCACCTCACCTCCCTGGCCACCTGACTCCCGACGGGCCTGCCCCACTTCAGCAGTCTCATGCTCCGGGCAATTCTGCCCCACCCAAAGTTCCTTTGCCACCCTGCACAAAGGAGGGAATCCCACCAGGAAGGGGCTGGGACCACGACTCCTGTGCATTGCCACTGCTGGCCAGGGTAATCCTGCCGGGCAGCAAGGCAGGGACATTCTGTCAGCCGTGCTGTGCAGGGTGCCCTCATCAATGGTTCCCCCTCACCTGCCTTGCCACGTAGGAGGGCCTTGGCCGAGTAGCACTTGTAGTAGAGCAGCACGACCTCTGAGTGCGGGCAGGGCCCCTCACTGTTGTTCGGCAAGTGCAGCATCAAGCAGGAGGTCCTGCCTAACTGGTAGGGAGGTGGGGGGCCGTTCAGCCGCTGCTCCCACACTGGCTCAGCCATGAGCTTGCGAGGCTTGGCTGGCCCTGCTCCATGTGCTCGCCAGCAAAGTTAGTGCTGCTAATTTTCTGTTTTTAATGACAAGATGAGAAGGAATGGGAATGTCTTTAAAAATTGTCTTCTCCTTATAAAGATCTGAAGAAATCTATAATCTTCAAAATATGGTTGTTGCTAGTATTATGTTCACAAAAAAGAGAGCTTTATTTTTGGAAACACCTATGACTTCCTTTACAAGTATCTGGTATGTAAAAGCCATAGTTACTTTTGTTTATCGGCTTAATTCTGTGGCTGTTTTAAGCAGTCAAGGCTGGAATATGTGGATATAAGCTTCATTACTAGCCATGAGCAGCTCATTAGCTGTACCTGCTTACAAGCAAAGCTGGCAAGTACATTCATCAATGAGACTGTCCTAAAGTATGATATTCTTTGAGACTTGAGAAGGTCACTTTGTTCTCTTCCTGTTTTTCTTTGCAGGGTGCTTGATTTTTCAAGTGACACTCTAACATTCTGTGTGTCGTTTGTTCTCAGTCATAGATTTGGGGTACTTGTATAGTGCTGGTGCTATCAGTGAAAAGGCATTGTGCAGTTGTCCCATGCTTTCCAGGTTTTTGTTTGTTTTTGTTAAAAAAAAAAAAAAAAAATGATGGGAGAAATGTGGGAAAATAACTTATCCCCTCCGAAGTTAAAATTGAATTAGTGACTCTGGGCACTTGCACAATACAATTGTCTTCTGGAAATGCTCTAAATTGATGTTTTTTGTGTTTTAAGCTTGCTTTAGAACACTTTTTCTATCCCCAGGTTCATTTGGCTTTGGTGTTTTGTAAGCTTATAGATTCATATTGGGTAGCTTTAAATGGTGAGGGGAAGGAGATTTTAGAAGTACTCTTTTTATTTATTTATTTATTTATGTATTTATTTATTTATTTATTATCAAACTTGTATGCCACCCATTTCCCCCAACGGGTGACTCTGGGCGGCTCACAATAATAAAAAAGGAAAAAACACAA